GGGGCGGGGTGAAGGAGCAGGGGTGCGAGGGCGGGGCCGGGGGCGGGGGTGTTGGGGTTGGGGCAGGGGCAGGGATCAGGGATCCCCACGCCTGGGTTCCGGGGGTCAAACCCCCAGGCTGGCTCGGTGCCTGGGGATCCCTGCCTGACAACCCTGCATGCCGCATCCGCAGTTATTTTTTTCTTTTCTGATCTTTGATTCAATAAGGAATCCTTAGGCAACCCTTAGCCAATGGTTGTTTGCATTGCAATTTGAAACAACGTTTTTTCCAGAATTGTTTTATTTTTTTTCCTGAAGTTTTTCCCAGAGTACCCCGGGACCCACCTGGGACGTTGCCGGAGACTTTGTCTGGTGGGGCATTACGGGCAGCCAGAGGTGGAGTGGTGCTGTGAAAGGTATCCTAATCTATGATTCAGCATCCCAAGGACACAGGACCATGGGACATGGACAGAGGGAACTTCAAGGAGGGATGGTTCGGCGCCCTGAGGAGACTAGACCATCCCCAGCTCAAGTGGAAGAGGTGGAAGAGGAAGTACGGCTGGCCTGGCGCCCCCATCATCATTATGATCCAGTGTGCTGAGGACATTGGTCCATCCCCTGTCCAAATGGGACAAGGAGAAGGGAGTTGGGATGATCCGGCGTTCTTAGGGTGCCATACCATCCCCAGCCGAAGGTGAAGAGGTGGGCGAGGGAGGATGGGTGGCCCTGCATCCTATGAGATGGAGGGAGGTTGAAACAGTATCTTCAAGTTGTGGATAACTGTTCTTACAAGCTCCTTGGCAGTGTGCAAAAAAAAAATGTTGTTGAGGAAAACATAAAGCGGATCATAGTAACAGAGTAACAGACTGGAGCCTATATCCTCCGCTTTCCCCTGGATTCTCCAACTCGTACCCCTTCCCCCGCCATTCCCCCTTCCTTTCCTACTCTCTCCCCATTCCTCTGCACACTAGGGTAAGAAAAGTGTGGGCTCTTCAGTATTGCGGACAGGACAGCTAATGTTGATTTAGTTTCACGTCTATAGCGTCACTTGGAATGTGGGGTTTGGTAGAAGGGAGGTTAGAAGTTGTTCACGAATTTCATAGCTTTTTCTGAAATGTTTCGCAGCCGAATTCCGGGTAATGGCCCTAGTATCCTCAAATGCTTATTGTAATCTTATAAGGGATGCTGGGCCTGGTTCCCAGCACGTGTTGCTCCCCACGAATAGATCGGAGCATTTTTAAGGAAAACAGAAAAGGGCTAAGTTGTCCTGTTCAATGTTGGGGGTAGGTGAGGGAGTAATAAGGCACTGTGAAGCTTAGGAGATGGGGGCATCCCTCCGGTCTTCTGTTTTTCTTCAAGCTGTTGTGCTTTACTATATCCACCATTCTTTCTTTTCTTTTCCTCTTCTTCTTCTTCTTCTTCTTCTTCTTTTCTTTTTCTTTTTTGAAAAGAAGGGCCCAGTGCCCAAGGCTTCAAATTACTCAAACAGTCCATCAATGAACACACACACCTCTCCCCATCAAGGCTCGGAGAGCTGAAGCCAACGCTCATTGGCGAGGCAGATTCCCTATTCTATGATATTCCCAGGGTGAGGCGAGAGACATTGATTACTTCCCCCAAAGGGAAGGATTGACCTCTGCACCTGAATCAATCTTCATCAAACCATTCCTGAGAACCCAACCGAATGGATCTGGCGCCTGATGACCAGGCGAAGAGGTTTCTTTCCCTGTCCTAGACTGGCCTGCAAATATCATCAACACGATTTCCTTTTATTTTGTCATTTAAGGGACGCTGAGCCCGGTTCTCAGCCAGAGTCGTGCGACCACTCCGGGTAGACTGTGAGGACCCCGGCCTCAGCTTTTTCATTGATAAGATCAGCCTTGGGCACTGGGCCCCCTTTTTGCAAAAAAAAAAAAAAAAAAAAAAAAAAAAAAAAGAGAACCCAACATCTGCAAAACGTGGATTCCCTGTTCAATATTGTATTGCCAAGGGGAGGCGAGAGGCATTGATTACTTCTGTGAAGGGAATGATTGGCATCGGCGCCCGCTTCTTCATGGAGCAATACTAAGAACCCGAGACCATTGGTGACACGCCAGGACAGGAAACCCCGTGAGCGGAGCGACGCCCCTAGTGTGCATTACTGCACTAGTGCTAGCGCCCCGATGCCGGCGGACTGGTAGGGCCCGGTCGCCCCGGCTTGACTGGCGACTGGGGAGGACAGCTCCCCAGCTGCTGGGCCTGCGCACGTGCCCATTAGGTGCGAGTGGTGTGTTGCCAAGTGGCACCTGTTGTCTGGTGACGTGGATGTTCCATGGCACGTGAGCAGGGGTTGCGCCAGTCGTGGGACTGACAAGTGGTTCTGAAGAACCGTGTGAGTGGCGCGGTTGATTGGGCGAGAGATGGATTCGGTGGGGGAGCTACAACATCGAGCAGAAGAACGGCTTATCATACTGGAGGAGGGATGCAAGCAGCTGCGGACGATAGTTGGGGTGCTTACGATGCGGCAGCAGGAGGGGGAGGAGATCGATGGGGGGGCGATCTCTATGGATCAGTGGTTGGAAGACAGGACCCAGGAGATGCTAGACATCATCGACTGGAGGCGGGCGGATGATAGGATGGGTGCTTGCAGAGCCCTCTTTACAATGGGACGCAACCTTCGTAATCAGCTGGAGATTCGAAAAGGAAAGGGCGAGATGGGCGACAAGGGCGACAGGGACGTCTGGTTGGAGGGTGGAGTGGCGGCCGGCGAAGAGAATTGCGGCGACAACACTAACAATAGCAAGAACAACAACAACAACAACAGCAACATAAACATAAGATAATGCATAATGGATGCTGGAGTCGACGTCCAGATTATACATATTTCATCGTGGATAGTGCTTCGTGTTTAGGTTTGATTGATAAACATCACACACAACACATCCGTGTTAGGGTTTCGTGATTAGATTGTTTGATACAGAACACATACATCATATTTTTGTTAGGGTTTCATTCGTGCGATAAATAGTGAGTGACAATCATACACAAACATATACAAACATATACAGACAAATATAGGATGCTCGGTAGGAATATACATTCATCAGCGAATAGGGACGC